CATACATGTTTTTTTTTGTTTGTGTTTTTTTGGGGGGGGTGGGGGGTAGGGATCGACCGATTATCGGTCTGGCCGATATTATCGGCCGATATTTGGTATTTTCGGCAATATCGGTATCGGCCAATTCAGATACCGATATTGCCGATAATATATAGCAGGACCGCCGGGCCCATTACAAGCCCGGCGGTCCTGTGGGGGCCAGCAGCAAGCGCTGACTTACCTTGCATGCAGCTCCTACAGCTCTCTGTGTAAATCTCGCGAGACCCGCGGCCGCAGAGCGTTGCCACGGGTTACCATGGCAACGCTCCGCGCGGCACTAAGAGCCGCGAGATTTACACAGGGAGCTGTAGGAGCTGCTTGCAAGGTAAGTCAGCGCTTGCTGCTGCTGAGCCACCACTGTACTTAACAAGCCACTGGACCACCAGGGAATACTATATCCCCCTCCCTGGTAAGAAGCAGGGAGGGGGGACTAAACAAAAAATAAAAACATTTTTAAATATTAAAAAAAATATTAAAATAAATTACACAAATTACATCACTACACAAACACACACACACACAAACACATACTGCATTACATACACACTACACAAACACACACTACACAAACACACACTGGGGGGGACTAAACAAAAAAAACATTTTAAATATTAAAAAAAATATTAAAAAATTACACAAATTACATCACTACACACACACACTACACAAACACATACTGCATTACATACACACACTACACAGACAGACACTACACACACACCACAAACACACACTGCATTACATACACACTACACAAACACAGTACACATACTGCATTACATACACACACACTACACAGGCACACACACTGCATTACATACACACTACACAAACACACACTGCACACATACTGCATTAGACACACTGCACACACTACACTGCACACACACTGCATTACATACACACACTGCATTACATACACACTACACAAACACAGTACACATACTGCATTACATACACACTACACAGACACACACTGCATTACATACACACTACACAAACACACACTACACAAACACACACTGCATTACATACATACACACTACACAAACACACACACACTGCATTACATACACACACAAAAACACACTGCATTATACACAAACACTACATAAACACTGCATTATATACACACACTCTGCATCCACTACACACACACACACACTACACAAACACACACAGTTCCCCTGTCTAAACACACTTCATCCACTACATGTGGCATGTATATTTTGTGCATTTACCTTTCGAATTAGTTTATTTATTCAAAATAGTAAATGTACAGAATATCGGCAAGATATCGGCTATCGGCCTGAAAGTTCGCAGATTATCGGTATCGGTATCGGCTCTAAAAAATCAATATCGGTCGATCCCTAGTGGGGGGTGTAAGGGTGGGTAGCGTTTCATCCTTGGACCCAGACAGCACAATGTCTTGGGCCGGCCCTGAGTCACAGTGAGCTCTGTCCTAATATTCCAGATTTAACTCATGGGGCCTGTGGGTTGGTACACTCGCCTGAATATAACCATAGAGTTATTCACCTTTTGTGTCCATTACTTTTGCAGACATAGCATGTTTTTACACATTCATCCTCCTGACCACACTACTTGTTTTACCCTTGTTTCACGTTATAAAATAGTTCAGTACATATAACATTTAATGTAAAGCCTTCTATTCTTCCTCATGTATTCTGAAATGTCTCTTCAATGCTTGTAATCCTTATATGCACTGGAAAAATAAAGAATTTTTAAAAAGCCTTATAGGAATCCTGAGTCTATATGTTACTAGAAATGCAAAAATTTAGAATACATTAAAATAAGAGGTGATAATTTAATAATAAGGTAAATGGGAGTAACTTGCTTAGATCCTATTTTCTACAAACTGAAAAACTATGTAATATGTGTTCCAAATATTGTGCTAGTCAATTCAGAGGTTAAAGGGACACTCCAAGCACTAAAGCATCCTATGCTCTTCTCATTGTTTGCATTGAAAGGCATGATGTAAGAAGGTGCCCTGTTTCCCAACACACAATTGTTTATAACTGCAGCAATTTATAAAAATCACAACTGTAAGCACAGCCCCTAAGTGACAGACGCAGTAGGAGGATATTCTACTTCCTTCTCTGCCATGCACACGCTAATCATGTCCACACCACCATGGACATGTGCTTTCACAGCTTATGGGAAAAGGGCTAAGCATGGATCATATGCATGTACAGTAGCATGATCTCATCTGATAACTTTCACAAAATAGTACAGTGGGGCAACTGCTATCAAAGTGTTTTTTATAGGCACTCAAACAACTTGTGCTTAATGAAGCAGTTTTGGAGTATAGATCATGACCTGCAGTCCTATTGCTCGCTTATCTGCCTGCTAAATCAATAGTGCAGCTCTAGTCACACCTCCCTGCATGTGACTTACACCACCTTTCTAAACACTTCTTGTAAAGTCAGCTAATGTTTACACTTCCTTTATTGCACTTTCTGTTTAATTGGGAATTTCTTATCTACTTCCATGTTTAATAGACCTGTAGACGCTGCAGGAGCCTTCTTTATTAAAGTTCAATTTACTGGCAGGCGGCCCACGCCCGATGGACATATGCAATGAGGGGCCCGGTCGTGCTATGTGGCGCTTTAACAGCGTGATCAGGCCCCTTCTAACCTGCATAAAAACTTATAAAGTATGTTCTGATAATATAAATGTAACCCGGTAACTTAAGTGGGTGTTTTTTTTGTTTTTGTTTTTTTTATATATATATATATATATGAAATGCATAAAAACAGCAAATATGGAAAGGCATGAGGCAAAGCAATAAATGCTTACTCAAAGTACCATAACCTCCACAGCCCCCCGCTTTACCTGGGTCCTCTCTTTCAGCTGACAGTGACAACATTCCCCTTTGTCAGCTGTTTGCTCTCCACCAATGCAGGACATTCTTTACATACCAATATGCACAGAATTGACATAAGTTAACCTGGAATTCTTGTTCCGGGCTGGCTAATGACACTCCAATCACGCTGCCAGAGGTGAAGTCACACTTACAGCAACAAAGGGGTGCAACTTTGTATGTGCAACTTTTTTTTTTTGAAATGCTGAACATACAGACTACAGCAACTAATGAAGTGGTTATGGTGCTTGGAGTTACAGTTTAATAAACTCAAAAGAGAAGTCATCTCTGTTTCTTAACCAGCTACCATCATAACCACTATAATTAGCTATTTTGGTTATAGTGCTTGCTAGGAGTAGAAGGAATAACATTTAAATCAGAAATGTTCAGATTTTATTTCGGTAAATTCAAATATGCAACTGTCATCTCCCTTTTTTTTTTCATTCACACGAAGGCTATCCTGTTATCTTAAAAACAGTTTACCTTACCATTAAAGACTACAGCGTGGTGATGAGCCCTTTTATAAATGAATTTCCACAAAATTACTCTGTACACACGGATTGTAACCTGCACTTACACCAGTTTAGCTATGCACTAAAAATACCGGATTCTTAATTCTGAAATGACAAATTTTCAACAAAACCTATTTTACCATTTTACTTGTGTTATATTTATTAGTGACCCACATTGTTTAAAACGCCCTTTACCTTTTGATCAGGAAGATTGCTGTTTGCACATGTGAAAAGACGTTGATGATTTACTGTCTGTATTAGCATTTTATTTCCTTTATACCATCAGTACATAACAATTCTTTAAGTGCCATAAGTGTGAGCTGTGTAATGTTTTTATTCACCTTTGGTACTCAAAGAGCTGAACTTGTTTGACTGCAGTGCATAGAATAGCACTAAAATAACTGTCTTGTTTCTCTTGCAGATTCTGAAAGGGGACCTTGATATGTACCTGATTCTGGAGCTTTGTTGCATGAGGGGGAGTGCTATCACTTTAAGCACAAGCCATTCCTGTTCCCATCTGGGGATCCTTCCTCCCCACCCCACACATGCAGCTGCCTTGGAGTGACTGTATTTAGACCAGAGCTGTGAGCTGCCCCCTTTCCCCTTGTGATATTACCACTATCCCTATTCCAAGTATTCTTTCCATTTGAGGAATTGGACTGTTACTGAACCCTCCTGAATGCAGGAGTTAGCCAGCCTGCTCCCCCTGGTTGCTGCATCCAAAAGAACAGCAGTGTTACAGCACGGCATCTCTTCTTAGGACCCTTTGTTTTTAGTGCTTGTTGCAATCCACTTTATAACACCATCTTGATTCCTGTCTGGACCTGACTTAGTGAGAAACCTTTCTGAATGCTCCTTCATGGGTACTGGACACTAGAACAATTTTCTGCTCTCACCGTGTTTGTCTGCCTTGTGCCATTATGTTTTAATACTAAACCGCTCCCTGGACCCGAGCAGTTTATTTTTACCTTCGGCCTAATCCACTTGTAATTGGCAGCTCCTCACGGTTTTACTTATTTTGAGGGAGCTATGCTCACCCTTTTTGGCCAAATCACTTTTCTATTTATGTTCTTTCTCCTATTTTTTGTCTTTGGTTCCTGATTGACTCACACAGCTGCCTTCTCTGGTACCAGTACCAATGTCACTCCTACTCTGCCCTGTTGATATTGGGCAAATCCGGTCTGCAGTTTCCTTACCTGCTCCGGTGCATGCATTCCTACATTGGTGCCAAACATACCTTCCCCCTAATGACATTTTTTTAAAAGATATATATTAGTGTTTTTCTTGCCTTGAACATTCCTTTTGGGGTCACAGACTACACAGGACCAGTATTGGCAGTGTCAAAGACACATGCCACCTCTCTTGCTAGGAATACCAACTGTACTATTAATGTTATATGTTGCATTTTCCATATTCACTCCTGTTCATTGCTCGGGCGTTCCACCCAATAACTCATCTTGTTTGTAAACAGTATTAAATGGTGAGATATGCAACTATCGTCCATTTGCCGTTTTTACACTTTTCATGGTTACATTTTATACAAATTAACATGCTGCACATGAATGAACCTGTCTTTGAATTCAAAACTTTACACGAAGTAACTTGTTTTAACATGGTTTTAAAGTGTAGTTTGAGTACTTTTTAAGTGGACATACATGCTTTAAAAATTGAGCAGGTTTGTTCAAACATATATGGTGACTACCTAGAAAAGAAGTTTACCTTTTTAAGCCTCACTGGAAAAAAGGTTTAAAATGCCTGGTATAGCAGCAATAGTAAATTCATATCAGTTTTTGTATGCAAATTAGAAACACTCTGTTTTCTCACTTTTATTTACAAATAGGCTGACCTTTTATCATAAAAACAAGATTCTACCTTAATCATCACAGCTTAAAAACTATAAACGTATTTTCACAAATTAGAAGAGCATGGACGTTCAATTGTAAGATTTGCTTATTTATTCCTACCCTTCTCCTTAATATACAATGTTTATATACTTACTGATATTCCCCTTTCCTGTGATGTATAGCACGAGGTGATATATGAAATATTTATATTCTTCAAAATTTTCTTCACATTTTCATTAGTGCTTCCAGTTTCTTATGCACCTGCCTGTGTTTTTTTTTTTTTTTATCACCTTAAAACGGTGATGGCAGATTTTTTTTTTTTACACTTCCTGTGATGCTCATACAGAACCGGGTCTACAATAATAATCTATCTGTATTCCTACATAATTCATGATTTGGCCCATTCATTCCCAGGCCAGTGGACAGGATAGATCGACATGAGACATGTCTAAATGTTCCCTTTTTTTAGAAGAAAAACATAGATCAATAAAATGATTATAAAGCATGATTTGTGGTATTATGTTAATAAAATTGACATTATTAGATGTCATTTTAGGTAAACTTAAGTGCAGGGTTAAAGAGAATTTTGAAATGTTAACAAACATTCTCACCCTTGTATCTGAAAAGGACCTGAAATGCCACTATATATATTTTTTGTTAACCATGGGCAGCAATCCTAGATTGCAAATGTTTGCCTTTGCCATCCCAGTGCTCGTAGCCACTTATTGCAATTCAAAGTAGGGCAGATTTGTAACGATAATGCATGGATAAAGGGCTTAGAGTGCCGTGTAAAAAGTCACAATCATGAAAGAAAATGTATATATTAAAATGCATCCTAAAAGCCCAGAAGTTCTCAATCTCCTGATATATATTAAAGGGACACTGTAGGCATTATAATTGCTTACATCATTGAAGTTACATCAGTGTCTGAAGTCCCCTGACGCCATCCTTCCAGTCAGTGTTAAAATGAGGAAGCACTAGTCTGAGCAGCAGTGGGCAACAGTGATAGGCTGAAATCCACTCCAGTGGGGGCAGGCTATGGGAAGCCAGGTATAGTTATTCTGTGTTAAACAGTCCACAAAATTTCTTAAAGGGACAGTCCGGACGTCAATAGATAGCCTTACAATATGCCTCCCGGGGGAATCCTCTCCTACTGCAGATTGTTTGGTTGTTCAAATCCGTGCTGTCGGTGGCTGAGCGTGCATACATTTTTGATAAGTCTTCTGTAGTGAGGGGTGTGGCTAAAGAGTCAGGCTTATGGTGCAGCATTCTGCAAAACATTTATTGGAGTGTCCCTTTAACACTGTTAAGGGGACTCCAGACACTATATCCAATTCAATAAGATTAAATGCTTATATAGTGCCTACAAAGTCACTTTATGGTACAGCAGATCTTAGAACCCAGTTCGTACATGACTCTACAAAACAAGAAAGATAAATGTCTTTATCTATAACAAGCCTTTGTATTGGTTTATCGGACATTGATCTATATTTTGTACTACCAGCGGTATAGTAAGAAATTGTGTATATTTTTTATTTTTACTCTTCCCAGTCAGACAAAAATGCAGGGTTATCCAGCGATGTATTTGCAAATTCCTTGTTAGCGTGGTGGCAGACTGCTGTCTGGACTCCAGGCGGTCGGCCAGTGGGTATGCTGATTTGTGAGGGCTCTCTGCTCAGCTCCCTCGCATGCCGCAGAGTGATGCCGTGAGCTAAGCAGGGAGAGCTCACAAATCAGCGCTCCCTCACCGCCTGCCTGGACCTCAACTGGCCGCCCGACTGCCTCCCTCCCTGCCCGACCAGCAGCCCCACTGGACCCCAAGTAAAAAAAAAAAAAATACACCCAGCTCTCCCGAGCTAGTGTTTCTCTGGCTGTTGGTGAATGTCAGTGTATGTCTCTCTGTCTGAGTGATTGTGTATGCCTGTCAGTGAATGTGTGTGTATGTCAGTGATTTTGACCTAAACTTTGTATTCCCTGGTCCGTTCCCATTTTAGCAAATGGCCCTCGTAGTTTTCACTTCTCTGCACATACAGCCATCCCGCAACTTCTGGATTGCCACGGAGTTCAAAGAATGAAGGGTTATTGGGTGTATTATTTGGATGTGGAAAGGCTATACACAACCACCCTGTCTACTTCTCAATGACCAGAAAGTGGTCTACATGTAAGTATATTTTCAGCTTTACATATGTTTGCCATTTGACCATAACAATGTGTATACAAGGCTACCAATCTGAAGATGAATATTTCAGCCAGACATTTGAAAAGAAAAGTTTGTTAACAAAGTAATGTACCGGCTTACATTTTCTAGTAAGTGCAAGTCCCCACCCAACCATGTAAATAAATTCTATTTTCATTTGTTAAAGTTGCAGCATGTGAAAGAGTGGACATTTCTTCTTTCTATGGTGATTATTACATTAAGTAAAAATAAAATTTCACACTGCTTAATAAGTTTAATGCATAAATAATGTTCTGGCATTTTGGCCAGAGGGGTTGATATATTAATTTTAGTGGGTGACATATTTATAGTAAAAGTTGCAGGGTAATAGTTGTATCATACACTGGGTAGTGGGGTATACATATGGTGGAGGTGTGGATGACCAACAGTATGCATCTGTTGGCCTGAAGTCTTTTACTATAATGAGTATCTGTGTTTGATTGATCACCAGTGTGTCATTCAAAGCTTGTTGTAGAGTCCGTTTTATATATGCATTTATATTCATTATTGGCCTGCTGTTACTACGATTAGCGTGAGTGGAGGGTTCTATGTTTTTGATGATCGGCTTTGTTTTGAAGTTATGGGGCATAGGTTTCCTGCAAAGGTCCTCTTCATTTCATCCTGTAGAAGTAGAAAATAGGAGATAAGATCAGAGCACTAAAAGATGCCAGAAATCTCAGAAGAGCCCACAGTCTTTCAGGGTCTCCTTAATGACGATATCGGTCACCGCATCAAACACGAACTTCACATTCTTTGTGTCCGTGGCACAGGTCATGTGACCATAGATCTCTTTTGTATCTTTTCTCATGTTCAAGTCGAGGAATTGATTCTTTATATAGTTTCCAGCATCTTCATATGTGTTTGAACCTGCAGGAGGGATTATGTTCAAATTTTAGTGATGCTCTACCAATGCCTTTTTATTAGATATGAACTGTGAAAATGTGCAATATGGTGATGTCTGCTCTCTCAAATGACTTGGTTCATCTTAGTACCATAGACCTAGAAGATCAATGCCATCAGTCTAGCTGCTAAAAGATTGTCACCAAAAATCACTGTTCTGTAAGTACTAATCTCAGATCAACAGATTTCTACATTACAAACAATGTGTCAATGTGATTGTGGTAACTACTAGGTGCCTTACCATCGTAATCTGGAAAACAGATGCTCAGGTGGACTTTCTTAATTTTCTGCTCAAATAGGTCTTTTTTGTTCAAAAAGAGAACAATGGATGTTGCAGCAAAGAATTTATGATTACAGATACTGTTAAAGAGATGAAGAGACTCGTGCATCCGGTTCTACAAAGGGGAAACAAGCATAAACAAATATGGCATATGATACAGAGCATATTTATAACTTTGAATTGTCTTCTGTGATGTTTGTGAAAAAAGGGAACTTGGGCTAAGAATTCCAAGTTTATACTGCAACAAAGTGAATACTTGATATTGCTTCAAATAGTTTTTCAAATAGCTGTTCTTTAACACCCAACACTCGGCCCATCAACGTTGCAGTTCTAAGATTGTAATGCAAAGGTTAACGACTGCAGTAGAGGAACCACCCTTTAGGTGCCTGAGAGCCCTGTCAAACCACTCAAATGGTTTAACCAGGGAGATGTCACCCAAAGGTGCTTTACCCTATGAACACTACAAAATAAGAGATATATGAACATTTGGGGCAATTACAGTAAACCTAGCCATTGCCTAAGTAATTTATCTGTATGCACAAGTTAGTTATCGTTTTTTTGGGGGTTTTTTTTGTTAAATGGTAGAGCACCAAAGACAAATCCAATATAAATGGATAAATTCCCAGTTATTGGGAATAGGTACCATTCTGTGCAATATCCATAGCATGACTGTTGTATGTTAGTGTGAGGTCATCTACAGAGGATCCTGCTGGTTCTTCCATAGTCTCCTGTTTGGTAGTTGTGCATGCACTTGTTTACAAAACGTTGATGTTGCTGTGTCTGGCCGGATATGAAGTTTGACGATGCATCAGACGAGCATGTCACCCCTCCACACATGCTACCAACTGGTAACACAATGCAAGCAGGCATATCACCTTGGCAAGTATTTGCAAAAAATGCAAAAACCCACAAGTGAATAAGCTGTTTTAAATGCTAACATTGTTAAATAAAAAATTTAATTTTTATGTTAACCAAACAAATCTCATTAATGGAAGATGCTATCATCATTTATAATTGCAAAGCGCTGCCTAGTATGATGGCGCTAAATAAGTGATGATGATAATCATGGAACAATCTTAAATAAAATGGAAATTAGTGATTTACAAAGTGTCAAACAGGACACCATCAAAGCTAAATATACTTCGGGCTGGAGTAGACCTGTTCCTAATTTAAAATGCATTAAAAGATCTTGCCAAAACAATAGATTAAAAAAGATAGTTGTAGGATAACGACAGATGGACACATCTGACATTTCAAACCTCACAGTGATGATTAATGTTGAACTGATTTACAGGATGTACTTTGAAACCAGTAGATAATGTACCTTTCCAGGTTAAATACTTTATCATTTACTGTATCTAGCTTAACTTGAGCTTCTAAATGTTACACCCCACTACATGGTCTGTCTGTTTATTTTTATAGAGGCATTGTCACGTTTAAGCTTTTAGAATCTTTCTGAAAAGCTCTTTTTGACAGTGTTTTATATTTCTTTGATATTTCATTGCAATCAAAAGATGCACCTGAGACAAACTTGAGACTTTATTGTGTCTCACTGGATGTTCCACAAGCCTAATTTTGTAGTCTTGTGCATGCACAAGAGTGCAATCATAGTTCAAAAGGAGAAATTAAGGTATGTTATATAACAACTTCTCCCCCACAGCCATCTTCACACAAGCGGACTTGTCAATTTGATAGGTTTGCAAAATCCTCCAGGCCCCACAAGTGACAGTGCCACTTTAAATTGGATTTCCTATTGTATAGTTCCTGGAAGTCTGTGCCATTGGATGAAAAGAGCAAAGGTGTTTTTGTTTTGTTTTTTTAACACTATTAGGATAATTGTTTTGGTTCACTATACAACCTTTTATGTCACAAACATTTTAGCTGATGAAACACAATCTGCCCACTTCTGCATGTTGCATATATCTGTGCAGAAGACTTGGTTTACAGGCCAAAAGACTGTAAACAATTCTTACCACTTCCTCATCTTCCACCAGAACCATGTCATATGCACTCAGGGCTCCGCAGAATATGATACAGGTCACTCCCTCAAAGCAGTGAATCCACTTCTTGCGCTCTGACCTCTGACCACCGACATCAAACATCCTGTGAAATGGGTAGAGTATTTGCATCATATCATAGTAATAACATAGCTGAAAAGAGACATGCATCCATCATGTTCAGCCTTTCTCACATCTGTATTTGCTGTTGATCCAAATGAAGGCAAAAGAAACAATTCGAAGTGCTTTCCAATTTTGCAGCAAACTAGGAAAAAAAAATCCTTCTTGACCCAAGCATGGTAGTCAGATCTCTCCTTGGATCAAGTAGATAGTACCCCAATTATATTCCTGAAAATGATGTTTTTGCAAGTATTCATCCAGTTGCTGTTTAAACATCTGTGCAGACTCTGATAAAACCACCTCTTCTGGCAGAGAATTTCACGTCCTTATTTCTTTTATGGTAAAAGAAAAACAAAAAAACTTTCCTTTGCCTTAGATTAAATCTCCTTTCTACCGGTCTAAATGAGTGACCTTAGGAGGATCTTTTATTACTTGTTGGGCTTCAGTTGAGATTGATATGACGTTGTTTCAGATCAACCTGACTCTACTCATAGGTATGTTGCTATCCTGTTGAACACTCTCTCTCGTTATGCATCACCTGCATATCTCAAACTGGACTTTAAGGAGTCCTCCTTGGGCATTGTTTCCACAATGTCAAGCTTGTTCTCAGCTTCACATTCAAATGAGCACAGACAGACTCAGTGTTTCAAACTTCATACTTAAAGGACCACTATAATGCCAGGAAAACATACTCGTTTTCCTGGCACTATAGTGCCCTGAGGGTGCCCCCACCCTCAGGGACCCCCTCCCGCCCGGCTCTGGAAAGGGGAAAGGGGTAAAAACTTACCTTTTTCCAGCGCTGGGCGGGGAGCTCTCCTCCTCCGTTCCGCCCCGTCGGCTGAATGCGCACGCGCGGCAAGAGCTGCGCGCGCATTCAGCCGGTCACATAGGAAAGCATTACAATGCTTTCCTATGGACGCTGGCGTGCTCTCACTGTGAAAATCACAGTGAGAAGCACGCAAGCGCCTCTAGTGGCTGTCAATGAGACAGCCACTAGAGGCTTTGGGGGAAGGCTTAACCCATTAATAAACATAGCAGTTTCTCTGAAACTGCTATGTTTATTTAAAAATGGGTTAACCCTAGCTGGACCTGGCACCCAGACCACTTCATTAAGCTGAAGTGGTCTGGGTGCCTAGAGTGGTCCTTTAATACTGCATTTCTGCAGGTACCCCTAGCGCACGCGTTCTCTCTATATATTATATGCGCACGCGTTCTCTCTATTTGACTGATTGCAGTGTTATGACATGCTTAACATTTATTAAAAATATATCAATGGGAACCGCACTCAATCCACATAAGCCACGGGTGTTAAATTAAACCATGGGCCAGCACGAGTCTAACAATGATAAATGCAGGTAACAGAGAAGTGTCCAGGCACTCCAATAACTTCAGGCACATTTATTTGAACATAAGGCACACTGCAACGTTTCGATCCTAGATTGGGTCTTTGTCAAGCCTAGCATTTATGTTCATATTAAAGGGTTACTGCAACCACCATAACCACTTCTGCTTTTAAAATCTTGGAACTCTGCACATACAGAGATATTACACCCCTGGCACACATGACTGTTCCAGGCTGCTTAATGTTATTCCTGTGCAAAAATTACGTCTGTCATGAGTGCACTCCGCGTGCTGGTGACAGATGTATTGAGAGTTTCCCTTGCAGATAGCACACCTGCAAAGGAAATCCACATTTCCCTCCCTTTTTCATTTGATCCCTCCTGCCTCCTTATTACACTAATGCTTGTTTTCTTTTTAAAATTGTTTACTTCCTTCTTCCTTCCCATGTCCACCTACTTCCTTTGCCGCTCACGCGATCTGAGTCACTGAAATGGTCAAATCAAGTGCTTCTCTACGAGAAGCATTTGAATGTATCATGTGAGAAAGGTGGTGGTGGAAGGCAGTGCTTGGAGCTTTGCTCGATGGCGGATTTCAGGGAAGCTTCTTTTTGCAGGTTTTATTTCATAATAAAGGGGTGGGGACCGAATGACTAATGCCCAATAGGTTATTTTAAATATGATACATAAGAAAACCCAGCACACTCACTTATCCAATAAACAGCAACTTTGGTGCTGACAGATTTTGTTTGTTTTTTAAAAACACCTAATCTAGGCAAAAAATAATGGGGGTTTAGTTACATTATATGATCATACATTGCATAAGCCTCCAACAACGTCATTGTACTCTATCTTTGGCAGGTCCTACTCTAACAGCCAAATGTTTCAATGCTTTCCTATGGGGATTCCGGCGACGCTGGAGGTCCTCATGCATAACGTGAGGACGTCCAGCGTCGTTTAAAACACTTTTCATGTTCTAAGAACATGGAAGTTCCTCTAGCGGCTGTCTGGTTGACAGCCACTAGAGGAGGACTTAACCCTGCCAGGTCATTATTGCAGTTTATAAAAACTGCAATAATTAGACTTGCGGAGTTAAGGGTGACGGGAGTTGGCACCCAGACCACTCCAATGGGCAGAAGTGGTCTGGGTGCCTGGAGTGTCCATTTAAAACATAACTTTTAATACTGTCTCTTTATAACAAATATATATCTATTTGTGTGATACCCGAGTTTGAGTACTTAACTATCAGTTATACCTGGTTTCCATGGCAATTTCTCTCTGATTTTAATTTGTCATATATTATCTAGTTTGCACAGTGAGGGAAAGATACCTAAAGTGAAGATCTTTGAAGGAGAATTGAGTCTCGATAATGCCTGTAGTTTTGACTCGTGAACGCAGAACATCCTGTTCGTTGGGGATATAATTAGTGGCTGTGATTCTGTCCAGCTCGTTCAAGTAACTGGGAAAAAGAATAGACACATTTGGAAAGCGTGAAGTCAATGAAAGAGTGAAAATGTCAATGTTGTCTTGTTTTAAAGTTGATTATTAGACTCCATCAATTAATTCTAAATTAACATCAACTATTTCACTTTAGATAATGGCCATTAAGTTTTGGATACAACCTGTTTTAATGATCATAACCAAGAAACCACAGGTTTGCTATAAATGAGGGATGATCAACCTATATCACTTTAGTTGTGATTTGACTACAACTCCCATTGTCTATTTAATTTGATGAAAGATGCAGTAAGATGCTTACTAGGGAGCAGAGTCATTGAGCTGATATTCCGCTGCTCTGTCGAAGCAGGCCTGCACACCTTCATCTGTCCAAAGCTTCTTTATGACGTCCACCAGTTCAGGAGGCATGGTACCTTCTTCAATAGAGTCTGCCAGGTGGCAGAGGACACGTCCATCATCCTGATTCAACAGAAGGATTGTAGAGACAAAGTCAACCAACTTCAACTCATATGAACATATATAAGTACATACCTGTCAAATCTGACTCTTCCTCTTAGGAACAGTAATACTTATGTTCAGCCAGTAGGTGCCAGCAGATCCTTTGTAATAGCATCATGATCGCCAGGTACTCACTTGTAGGCTTATGCACTAATATAATATACCTTTAAGACCAAAATAGGTAAATTTAAGAAGAAAAAATAAATAAAAACAGCAGCAGAGGCTGTATTATTTCATTCATTTTTACATAAAACTTGAAATTCCTTTGTCTGTTCTTCACAATCCTTTTTTATATATGCATCAGTAATGGGTAGTGTTGAATTTTAGTTTTATTTATGCAATACATTATTTTTCATTATGTTATATTGAAATAATGTTTTTCTCATATTTACTCTGTTTCCAAATCTTATTTCCACAGACCTCCTAATTAAAATAGAGACAGAGGTTGAGATTTTGTTCTGAAAACGTTTGTCTAAAACGTATTTATTACATTGTGTGAAAAATGGTTTAAAATTGTCAGATTTTCTCTGCCCTAGATTCTGCCATTTCTTTTGCAGACATATCAATTTTACAAAAGTCAAACTTTGGAATGATAGAAAGTAGAGAAGTGGAACAGAACACTTGTTTTGGTGCAAAAAGGTGACAGAAAAACTGAGAAATCCATTGCATTTACAGAGTAATTGTGTGTATGCAAAGCAAAATGTTTGGTTAGGGGGCAAACTAAGCAGCAGAGGAAAAAATCTGACAGGAAAAAAAACACACCAAAAAGGGGAGAAAACTGTGCAACACATTAAATGGTTACTCCAAACACCACAACCACTTTAGTGATACTTCCATTGGTATAACCCCACCTCCAGCAACAACATATGGTGTCGTCAGCCAGCCTGGCACTAGAGCTCAATGCTGGGTAATGTCAATTATATTCAAGTTTCATTGCACAGAATTTAAGTCATTGGCAGAGAGTTGTCAACTGACACTCTCAGCCAATGAAAGGCAATCTCCTTGGCCAGGGCCGCCATCAGGGGGTGACAACTATGACGGTTGTCAAGGCCCAATGGTCCTGGGGGGTACCCAGGGCCAGATTAAGAGCCCAGTGGGCCTGGTGCTGACAATTATGACGGGCCTAGTTACAAAATTTTATTTACCAAAAATACTAAAACAGTCCTACGTCCTAAGCGTCATGTATCTGATGGAGATGGTACTGGAGGGAAACTCATAGGATGCAGCTATGAGAAAACACATACCCACGCTTTCATCTTTCAAGTAAACCTATACCCCCTAACAGCAGTGTCCTGTAAAGCAGGAAGTCTATGGACAGGGAAAAAGGGTGGGCCACTGACACAAAACACATAACCAGAACTGCCGAAAGGTGCGAACATACACAAAAAGGGGGCAAGTCTGTGTCCCCATGTCTCCCAGTCCCTTAGTGTCTGTGTCCCCATGTCTCCCAGTGTCGCTATGTCACTAGGACACTAGAGGACATTGAGAGACATTGGGAAACTGAGAGACCTGGGGACACTGAGACTCTTGGGGAAACTGGGAGACATGGGGACACTGGGTAACTTTGAGACATGAGAGACACTGGGAGACATGGGGCACTGAGACACTGTGATACATAGGGGACACTGATATATAGGGGACACTGGAGACTTGATAAAGACCTAGGTACAGGTCAAAATGTTGTGGTGTCCAATAAACCTGCTTAAATATATCACAGTGAGTGCCTGAGATTTTTTTCTTTTATACTAGGGGACACTGAGACACTTGGGGGCGCTGTGAGACATGGGGACACTGAGACACTAAAACACACCAGGGATACTGGGAGACATGGGGCACTGAGACACTCTGATACACAGGGGACACTGTGATACATGGGGCACACTGGAGACTTGATAAAGACCTGGTTACAGGTTGAAACATTGCGGTGTCCAATAAATCTGCTTAAATCTATCACAGCGTAATAATAACTACCTATTTCCAGAGCTAAAAGACTCTGAATGTCGGTGTTAGCTGGAAAGGAACACAAGATGAGGAAATGTATGCTCTTTGATAGAATGCTGCACACGACTTATATTAATGGTCAGATAGCAAATCCAAAGCCAACTGGCTATACCTCTACCTACTCAGAAAAATAGATGGTATATGCAGAAATAGATAAAGAATATAAAGTTGTCCAATTGTCCTAATCTCTGACTTTATTGAGTGAGGTCTCTATCAGGAGTTGGATTTTCTTATATCACACTGAGTAGGTGTCTAGGATACAGGGAGCAGATGGCTGATGTCATTGATTCTACAATATGGTAATATAGAACTAGCAGAAGGTTGTTTGTAATTACAAATTGTTGCAATCTCTCTTCTCCTAATTTTGGTTAATGCAATTCAATATAGGAGACAGTTTGAGTGAAGAAACTGAGTCAGATAGCTGTCAGGTTAGGGCTTCTGTATTATCACAGTATTGCAATATTGTTGCAAAACGGAGAGAGCATAAAGAGGATACTAATTAGCTACAGTTGCTTTAACCCTCAGTTGTATGGGGTTGGTAACTTGTTTCAGATTGCAGCCCCTATCTACTGCTCTTATCTAATGCCTGTCTTGAATAAACTTGAAGAATTAAAAAATAAGTGAAAAATCTCTCTGTGAAATAGAAATGATTGAGTAATTATTAACTCATAAGGTATTCACAGGCAGAATAGAGACAGGAGTAGAAATATAACAGCTTCTCTCTGATTGCTCACTAGACTTAAATCTATCACAGTGAGTGCCTGAGATTTGTTTTATACTAGGTGACACTAGGAGACATTGGGACACTGAGACACTGGGAGACTAGGGGACTTTGGGAGACTAGGAAACACTGAGACACTGCGGACACTGGCACACTGCAGACACTGAGAGACACCAGGTACATGGAGACAAGGGATACTGAGATACTAGGGACACTGGCTGGAAGACATGGGGACACTGGGAGTGCCCCATGTCTCCCAGGTCTCAAAGTCGCCCAGTGTCCTCATGTCTCTCAGTGCCCCCTAGTGTCTCAGTGTCCCCATGTCGCCCAGTGTCCCCTAGTATTTGTATCCCCTTGTCTCCCAGTGTCCCTTAGAGTCTGTGTACCTATGTCTCCCAGTGTCCCGATGTCATTTGGACACTAGGGGACACTTAGAGACATTGGGACACTGGGAGACATGGGGACAATGAGACACTGGGAGAGACATGGGGACATGGAGAGACATGGGGACACTGAGAGACTAGGGACACTGAGACCTGGGGACACTGAGAGACATCAGGGACACTGGGAGACATGGGGACACTGAGACATTGGGACACTGGGAGACATATGGACACTGGGGAACATGGGGACCCTGAGACACTTATCTAATGCCTGTCTTGAATAAACTTGAAGAATTAAAAAATAGGTGAAAAATCTCTCTGTGAAATAGAAATGATTGAGTAATTATTAACTCATAAGGTATTCACAGGCAGAATAGAGACAGGAGTAGAAATATAACAGCTTCTCTCTGATTGCTCACTAGACTTAAATCTATCACAGTGAGTGCCTGAGATTTTTTTTTATACTAGGTGACACTAGGAGACATGGGGACACTAAGGGACATTGGGACACTGAGACACTGGGAGACTAGGGGACTTTGGGAGACTAGGAAACACTGAGACACTGCGGACACTGGCACACTGCAGACACTGAGAGACACCAGGTACATGGAGACAAGGGATACTGAGATACTAGGGACACTGGCTGGAAGACATGGGGACACTGGGAGTGCCCCATGTCTCCCAGGTCTCAAAGTCGCCCAGTGTCCTCATGTCTCTCAGTGCCCCCTAGTGTCTCAGTGTCCCCATGTCGCCCAGTGTCCCCTAGTATTTGTATCCCCTTGTCTCCCAGTGTCCCTTAGAGTCTGTGTACCTATGTCTCCCAGTGTCCCGATGTCACTAGGACACTAGGGGACACTTAGAGACATTGGGACACTGGGAGACATGGGGACAATGAGACACTGGGAGAGACATGGGGACATGGAGAGACATGGGGACACTGAGAGACATGAGGACACATGGGGACACAGAGACCTGGGGACACTGAGAGACATCAGGGACACTGGGAGACATGGGGACACTGAGAGACTAGGGGCCACTGGGAGACATGGAGCCACTGTGTCCCTAGTGTCTCAGGGTCCCCATGTTCCCCAGTGTCCCTATGTCTCCCAGTGTCCCAATGTCTCAGTGTCCCCAAGTCTCAGTGTCCCCAAGTCTCTCATCGTCCCCATGTCTCGCAGGCTCGTAACTGCTGTCTGGACTCTCTGTGCAGAGCTGCTCCCTCGCGGATCAGTGAGTAGAGAGAGGCAGATGCTGTAACTTCTTATCCCTGCCTCTCTCCACACAAACAGCGACCCCTACTGGCTGGCGCTGGTATTGCAGAATAATCTGTTTATACTGAGATAGACATTTGTATTGCCGGTATTACTGCAATACCGGCACCGGCTAGGCAGCCTCAAATACCTGATAAATACTTCTGAGAAATACCTGGCAACCATAAGAAATACATGAGAAATACCTGGCAACCCTAATAGTAGTGTGTGTAAAAAAAAAGAAAAAAAAAAAATTTTTTTTTTTTTTTTACATCAATGGGCCTATTCCATGGGTCTGGGCCTGGAGCTGCAGCTCCATCAGCCCCTATGTTAATCCGGCCCTGGGGGTACCGCTATGTATATATGCCTCTGCGGGCCCAGGATATACTTACCTTCCCCTCCAGCACTCTCGCGAGCCACAGCAGTAAAGTGATGCCGCGGGTTGTCATGACAACGCTCCGCGGCACGCAATGCATGCTGGGCTTGCATCATAAATAGAGCACTGGCTGCAGGAAGGAGAACATGGAGGGAGTCTGCTGGGCTCCTCCTTGCTGGCCCAACAAGCGGAGCCACCGGACCACCAGGGAATCCAGTGTCCCCCCCCCCCTCTCTGGCTACAGGTAAGAGGCAGGGAGGGGGGAATACATTTTTTTTTTCTTTTTTTTTTTATTATTATAAAAATTCTACATAAAAAATAAATACCTCCCAGCAGCATTTGTCGCACAATCCACCACACACATACATCAAACAGACACAATGCATCCATTACACAACCACACACATCATCCACTACACAACCACACACATCATCCACTACACAACCATACACATCATCCACCATACACATCATCCACCACACACATCATCCACTACACAACCACACGCATCATCCACCACATAAACACACAAACTGCATCCACTACACAACCACACACATCATCCACTACACAACCATACACATCATCATCCACTAAACACGCACACAGCATCCACTACACAGACATACACTCTGCAGTCACTATATACACACACTACATCCACTACACAAACACGCAATCTGCATTCACTATTCATATACTACATCCAGTACACAAACACACACACACAGCATTCACTATACACACAATACATCCACTATACACACACACTCTGTCTACTACACAAACATACAATCTGAATCCACTATAAACAGCGTATCCACTTTACTCACACACTTTGTATCCACTACACACATTCTATAGCCACTATATACACACAAACAAATTCAGTACACACACACACTTCATCCTTGTGGGTGGACTTAAGATGTGCCCTGTGTATGGATTTGGGGGCAGGTCATGTGGATTGACCTGGGGGGCAGGCCCCGGGGGGCCCAGATGGTGGGCTCTGTCAGGGGCCCAAAATTTCTGGTGGCAGCCCTGTCCTTGGCTTCTGAAGCCAGAAGCATGTCACAAGTCCACCAGGGAGCATTTGAGCCCGGTGGTGACCCAGGGTACTACTGGCAACATAACCACTGCCACAGCGCAGACTGTAGTGGTTATGATGATTAGGGTAACCTTTTAATAAATCTTTCCCACAATATCATTATTTAGAACTAAAAAATTAGTAATTAAAAAATAATAATTATTGAGCAATACTATTCACAACATTTATGAGCTATGCCTCGACAACTGGGAACCATTGCCACACCTTGACAGTGTTTACAGGGCATAATCTATTCCTCAGCTATGTCCTCACTTTTTAATGTAAATAAATACGCATTTTCTCACAAAATAATTATTCAAAAACTTCCTAATATTTTTGCATCTTGATGAATTGTAATTTTTTTTTTAAGAGTTATGTGAGGATAACCAACTTCTTCAAATATATATTTTGCATTTCTCATCTTTCTTAAAGGGAAACTATAGTGCCAAGAAAATAAAGTAGTTTTCCTGGCACTATAGTGCCCCCCTTTGTCTGTTAAAAATGCCTTCTGTCACTTACCTGAGTCCAGTGCCGATATCCCTCAGTGCTGATTAGGGCTAAGCCTCCATTCCTTTCCTGCTAACGTCATTTGGTGGGGGAAGACCTAATGAGCATTAGTATTTCCCCCATAGGAAAGTGTGTGTAATACTTTTTTTTACTGGGTTTTGAGTGATGCTGGATGTCCTCATGCATAGCGACCAAAAGTCACCTAGTGACTCGGTAGTCCCTCTAGTGGCTATCTGCTAGACAGCCACCAGAGGTAGCTTTAACCCTCCAAGGCAATTATTGCAGTTTATTAAAAACTACAATAATTATCATTGCAGGGTTAAGGGACCTGAGGCACTGCACCCAGACCACTTCAATGAACTGAAGTGGTCTTGGTGCCTATAGTGTCCCTTTAAAGAGTAAAAACAAATAATCTAATTTTAAAAGCTAACAACCATGACTAGATATTTATTTGGATTCCTCCACCCATGGCTTGCTGCATCCAACTAGTTGTAAACACCTTAAACACAAAATATATGAATTCTTTTTGTTGTCTAGTGACTAGGAGTATATGTTTTCACACTAACCGCTTTGCTGCTGTCCCCATAGTCAATACCCAGAGTGGACATGGCTCGGATTATGGCCAGAATAGACTGCAGCACATTTCCATATATAATAGATTTAAACTCCAAACACTCTTGCTCTGTGTATCCATCCTGGTGGATGATCCTTGGAAAAAGAAGTGCGAGGGATAATATTAGTGTGGTAAAGAGAATAAGCGTTAACACAAATACATGATGAAGTATGGCTAGACAGGGTGACAGGAGACCTTGTTTTGCCATTCCAATAAGTTACATAACAGTACTGCATATGTTCTCTCTTAAGTGAAATATTGCCCAGTCCAACATGGCATTAGTTTCCTCCAATACATGCTTGAACACCCATAGATTTTTATAGATTTACCAATAGATTATAACAGGCTACGTGATTTGTAGACCTTTTATGCAAGCAACCCCAGAAGACGTAATCAGAGTTAGTCACTAAAGACAGAATGCAAATGATATAGCTAACAAAAAAAATACTCCTGTACCATCCAGGGGCATTACAACTACAACACGCAGACATTGATCACAGTATTTTCCAATGTCCTGATTGAGCAACACACTTACTCTGAAGTAAAATAATGTTTATTCTGGATTTTAACCTGTCTGGATGCAACAAAATGGAGAAAATTGGGAACCTAATGATGGAATGCAATTCAACAGAAGTGGCCATTATCTGCCTGCAAATTTGGTTTAAATTTTAGTTTGGGCACCTTAATAACTTCATGTAAATGAAGTTGTTATGATGCCATGAGGTCCCTGGAGCTGGCTTACTTTTACGAACAGTTTAACATCCAAGTCTCGTCTTCAAAGCCGTTTCTCCTGCCCCCTCCGCACCTCCTTCTCAAACTCTTCAGAAAGGAAGCTTAGGAAAGCTACTGGGAAGGGGCACCACTGATTGGTGCCCCATCATGAACGGTTAAGCCCCTTAAGGTACATCAGCGCCAGGGGCCTCCATTCACCATAACAACTTAATTCAATTAAATTGGTATGGTGTGCAGAGTGTTCCTTTGACACACTATGGCCTCAACTTAATTATTTGTTTCAATATCAGAAATTATCACAATCTGTTAAGAAAATATATAATGATACCTTCTGTAGATAAATCTTTTAAAAATAATGATTTAACATTGTGACCAATTCACCTACAAAAAGCACAGTAAATCTGGTTGAAATTCTGTTTAAGAAATATTTGAATCACATATTTTACATAGGATTTGTGAGCATGAGTGATTTTAAATCAGACACTGGATGGTACTGAATAAGATGCACTCGTTTGGTTAAAATTACCAAATTTTAGATTTGCCTTTAGTAAATATGAGAATTTAATTAAATTTTTTGTTTGTTTGTTTGTTTTGCAAAACTGGACTACATCTGAACTTTAATGAATAACACTATTTGTCAGAAGGTTTCACCCATACATGACATAGAGATTGGCAAGAAACTGGACACTTCATATGAATTCATGATGTCACTTACTTCATCTGTTTGACAATTGTACTCTTCCCTGACTCTCCTGCACCTGTAAAGATACCAAATGACACAGTGAGCTATATCAAAAACAAGACAATGCCTTTTTTTCCCTTTGTTAAACAGTTTAATGCCAGAGGGGTGTGCATTGTTGTGTTGACTTCTGTGCATTTCTGTGCTATGGGGTACATTGAATAGACAGTTAACACAACTTTTTTTCAGTTGAAAGCATTGTTTTAAAAAAGTAAGAAGCCGGAGGCCACACATTACCCAGACAGAAGGCAGCCACATAGCAAAGTTTAATTCCTGTACTATATGTTATGTTTCTGGTCCTTTGACCACAATAGAAGTGTGGAAATGCACAATTTAACAATAAACTACACTCAACGTAATCAGTTTATCAGCTGCCCGTTGAATCACTGGGTTCTTGTTGAGTTGTACTTTAGAGCCATTAGACTAATAATGAATGAATGACTGTGTTTGCAGGTTCGATGAAAATAGAAGCTGGAATTATTTGCAGAGTGCTGATCATTTCTGCTTTTATCTCTATTGGTTACAATGAACGGGGTCTCATCCTGCACTTAGATTACATACTGATAGAGTGCCTGCTGAGATGGCACAGTGACGTCACCTGTACAACCACCTCTATGGTGATATGGTTTGGGATCCTTATAGCGCAACAGAATAATCAGGTCCATTCATTATATGACAGCCATTTATGGATTATTTGCAGCAGAAGAGGATGTAATGCATTTTTTAATCTGGTTCCTCAATAATCTGGGATTGGTTTTATTTTTTTAAATATTATCTACATCATGGGTAGGCAGCCTACTGCACTCCAGATGTTGTAGACTACATCACCCTTGACGCTTTGCCAGCATTGTGGCTGCAATACTGTCTGTATTCCCACCTCTGATTCTCGCCTTCAAGACTTCTTGAGGGCTGCACCGCTCCTGTGGAACTCACTTTCCTCCTCCGTTAGATGCTTACCCAGTCTCCACTCCTTTAAAAAATCATTAAAAACCCACTTCTTCATAAAAGCGTATCAATTAAACAGTTAATAGCTCCCGACTGATTCCTCTCTTGAAACTGTCATTAGTCTAGTACTATCCTTACCTTTTGTGTCACTTTACCCCACTCCCTCTAGAATGTAAGCTCATTGAGCAGGGCCCACAACCCCTCTGTTCCTGTGTGTCCAACTTGTCTGGTTACAACTACATGTTTGTTCATCCACCCACTGTAAAGCGCTGCAGAATTTTTTGGCGCTATATAAATAATAACATAATAATAAAAAGAGCATTATGGAAGATGTAGTCCATAACATCTAGAGTGGCTACTCCCGATCTAGACCGAACGCTTTAGTCAAAAAGCTATTAATGAAAATCTATAGTTGCTTTGTTCCTTTAACCTTATCATTTGTGAAGTTGCTGAGAAGTGCATTAAGAGTCAATGTGCACATTGGCATTTCACCCTTGGGGGTTACATTTCTTTACACAATAAATTGAAAACAACATTTGTATTTACAGAAATAGCAACAATCCACAAAACATGGCTAGTGATTAGTTGGCTATTGGGTTATACTAAATTCTCAGTTGTGATAATTCTGCTTCAACCTTCTAGCCCAAGTTGGTCATCTGGAAAGTCACCTATGAAGTTACAAATATCCGAGTGGTCAGTCTGTGGGTGAAAGTGTTTGTTCTGGTTAAATGTCTACAGTTAGTGGTCTGTCTAAGTAACTTACATCCTACTTTAAGATAGATTCAGCTAGCCCAGTGTTGTTTACTGTCACAATAAAATGTCACAACCTTGAAATATATTATATAATATATTGATAATACTGAGGAAGAGGAGATTTCCTTCATTCCAGCCATGGTTTTCAAAGTGCTTTCAGTTTTCAAGTGACCCGTTGGCCAAATTAACTTCCCCACATGTGGTTTAAACAAGGAAAAAGTGCATGATTGGTATAGAAAATGAAATTTAAGACAAGACTCCCAAAGCCTGACTCCATTCAAGTGTTTGAGCCGCTACCAGAACAAAATACAATAGGAATGTGTACTAATGATCATTATTTATCAATAAATAAATAGAGAGTACAAAGAGAGAGTCATGTGATTAAACATAATTTAAGGATTTAATTGGCTGCTGTGAAAAAGAAACAAAACATACATAGAGTGAGAGCAATGCTGTTTACATGGACTTGGCACTGCTGACTGAATCAATCTATATCGCAGTAGAGATTTTAGGTGACAGACACTTGGACGAATTCTACAGGGTAGTTATTAGGTGGTTAGCTAGGGTAAATGTTTTGCACCTTCCGTATATATTGACTTAAACCCCTCTAAAAAACAAAACACCCAAAACCACATATTTTTCCACAACACAGTATGGCACTAAATCCTTGTATGAATTCATAGTTGTGGTGGAACCAGCCACCTATTTGTATTACAGGCCATTCTGTTCATGTCAAAGACTTATCAGGTTTGACAATTCGGGTCACCTGAACAGACTGGAGCTAAATTGTTCGTATACCGAACCATCTACCAAACAGTTGGACCACCCAGGGGAGTCGTGTGCCTCCAATTGACCCTATTAACCTTATTCACACTTAGAAACCGCAAGGTTCTAGGCGGCCGTCGTTCGTATGACCAAACACGTGCGGCGGCCATCTATCTCCACGAACACAGACAGCGGTGTTTGGTCGCGAGTGCATGGAACTATAATCGGACACTCGACGGTGCGAACACTGCTGAACTACCACCCCTTCATGTGTTCTGTTCAGTTCACCTGGAAGAAGCGGCATTCGTATAAAACAAACTCCCGAATGAGGGGCACACAATCCCCTGCTATACGAATGGTTCCATTCGTTATTTTCTATGTTTCATACTCCCGAAAGAAGACCGGTCAAAGCCTAATAATCTCTGGAACTGTTTTGGGGCTTCACCTCGTGGTCGACCGGTCGGAACTTTATTTGAATGGCGTTCCGAAACCCCGAAATGGATCAGAGTGATATTTTGACAAAGTGGGCGCTCAGATCCCAGCTATTCGACAAAGTAACTTTCGGGAGGTTCTGAAGTATTAACATTAACATGTTTTTAGGATGTTATAACTATTGTATATCTTCTGCACCCGGGAGATAATGTAATTAAAGAGTTGTTCTTACTCAATCATCTTCCAGGTACAGAGGAGGAGTTTGGGAAATGTTTATTTGTTGCATGTCTCCACTCAGGTCCACTAGGGGAAAACCCCTGGAATGGGAATTAAGAAACCCTTTGCATGGGGAGTTGAATAAAAGCCAGCTGTGGCTGAATAAAAATCAGTTGACTCCCAGAACTGTGTATCGTCCAGTTACCTGGGAAATTGGGATTATATTGCTACACTGCGCTTCTCTTTGATGTTCTACAGTCTACAAGCGGAGATATTGATTTTAATATTGCAGCTCCACTACAGGAGTCATATATAAACCTATATTTATAACTCCACACCTGCCATATTAATTGCAAGCTATTCTGTAATAACAAGATTAACTGTACATTTACAGCATTATACATTAATAGTTTGGATAAGTAGTTCCCAGGGACCTGTCCTGCATTTTGAAATCTATTGGCAGATTTAAAAATGTAGGCAGGGTCTGGGCAACAGGAACAAGTTCTGAGCGATTCAGCTGAGCTCGATGCATGGTTTGTCTTGAGGCCAGGGCAGGCTGTTAGTCAGAACTCATCAAGCTTGGGATCAGGTGCATGGGCGTCCACAAGAATTGTTCCCGGGGGGGAGGCATAATTGTAATTTTCACAACTATGGTGTTTGTATTCCTGACACTATAGTGTTCCTTTAAGCAAATTAAAGGAACATTCTGGTCACCATAACAACTTCATCTAAATGAAAATGCTATGATGCCAGGAAGCCCCTGGGTGCTCTCTTTCCTTTAAGGGGTTAAAAGCTCTCAAATGGTTTAACCCCAAAGGCTTCCTCCAGCTCCAGATTTCCAGGTCGCTCAGTGGTATTCGGCTTCTCAAACGGAGTGTCAGGAAGTGCAGATTGACGTCAGGCATGGGTGCTACAGATTGGCTAGAGTGGTCAGTTGACGCTCTAAGCCAATCGCTAGTTCCGGTTCATAATTTTTTTTACTTTTTTATGAATGGGGAGCTACTGATTGGCTTAGAGTGCCAGCTGACCGCTCTAGCCAATCAGCGACACCCCTCCCCAGCGGCCCTCTGTGCTTCCTGACACTCAGTAGATCTGGGGAGATGAGAAGGTCCAAAGTTTCCCTGCCAGGCCCAGGTACCAAAGCCTTATAAAGTGGAGGGTTCACTTCACTTGTCCTTTCTGCTCCAGTCTCCTTTTCTTCTCCTTCATTTGACACAGTCTTCTTTTTCTTCTGACATTGTCTTCTCTCCTCCTTGGCTCCTTCTGCTACTTTCTGCTTATTGTGCTCCCCCTTCTGCTCCTGTCTCTCTCTGATCTTTCTGCTCCTTGCAGACCCTTTCTGCTCCTTCTCCTACTTTACCTTTGTGCTTCTTGCTGTCCCTGTCTGCACCTTGCTACCCTTTTCTGTTCCTTCTCCTACTACCTTTGTGCTCCTTCTGATTCTTTCTGCTCCTTTACCTTTCTGCTCTTTGCAGACCCTTCCTTCTCCTTGCAGACCCTTCCTACCCCTTGCAGACCCTTCCTTCTCCTTACAGACCCTTCCTGCTCATTTCTGTTCCTTCGCCTACTTCACCTTTGTGCTCTTTCTGTCCATTCCTGCTCCTTGCTGCTATTTTCAGCTCCTTCTACTTTACCTTTGTGCTGCTTTACCTTCCAGCTCCTTGCTGACCCTTCCTGCTCCTTGCTGACCCTTCCTTCTCCTTGCAGACCCTTCCTTCTCATTGCAGACCATTCCTGCTCCTTGCTGCCCCTTCCTGCTCATTTGTGTTCTTCTGTGTTCCTTCTCCTACTTTACCTGTTGTGCGCCTTGTTGTCCTTTTAAGATCCTTGCTGCCCCTTTCTTCTCATTTCTATTGCTTCTCCTTTCTGTTCCTTCTCTTACTTTACCTCCCCCATTTCTTACTTACCTGGTCTATAGGCTATCTTTGCCCCCCCCATGCCTCACTTTGATTATCTGTAGGCTATCTTTGCCTCCCCCCCCCATGCCTCACTTTGATGATCTGTAGGCTATCTCTGCCCCACCCATGCCTCACTTTGATGATCTGTATGCTCCTCCCATGCCTCACTTTGATGATCTGTAGGCTATCTCTGCCCCCCACCCCATGCCTCACTTTGATGATCTGTACTGCCCCCCATGTGATTTCTAGGCTATCTCTGCCCCCCATATGCCTCACTTCCCTGATCTCTAGGCTCTCTCTGCCCCTCCATATGCCTCACTTCCTGATCTCTAGGCTCTCTGCCCCCTGCCACTTCCCTGATCTCTAGGCTATCTCTGCCCCCCATATGCCTCACTTCCCTGATCTCTAGACTATCTCTGCCCCCCCATATGCCTTACATATACCCCCTCTCCCCCATCCCTCACTTCCCTGATCTCTAGGCTGTCTCTGCTGGCTGTATGTGTTGCTCCCCTGCGGATTCAGTCAGAGAGAAGCAGGGATAAGATGCAGCTTCCTATCCCTGTCTCTCTCCATACACATTGCAGTCCATTTTAAATCTCACACAAAAATTAGCAGAACAAGCTGAAAAATGGATGCCCATGAGTGCTAGGAATTAGTGTATTAATCCTGCCTTCTACCAGGAAAATACACTGTTAGATTGTCTTCTTCTCTTATTCCGGATCGAGCACTATGATTGCAACACTTACTTCACCATCTGTGTCACCCTACTGAAACTTTCCTATCTGCTCTCTGTGTGTTTTCACATCTGCTTTTGGACTGAGTTTGCGAATTCAGATTTTTGATAGTCTGACACGGATTGAACTCTTGTGGCCTAAATTATTTCTTTTGGCGCTGTGTAAACACAGCTTGTTCTATTCTTTCTCCAGCTGAACCAGACCCTTCTGTGCTACCTTGCCGTGTAACTATTATAGGAGTATTACAGTGATACAAAATATTTTTTTTTTTTTAAACTCTTTACTTTAATTTTCAGGGGCTTGCCTTAAAAATAACAAACAACTGACTTGAAGAATACAAAGGATATTGCTCATAAGTACTTAAAGCTAAGCTTTCTCACCTGGTGGAAAACAATAGGACTTCTCCTGTACCTTCAACACAGCTCAATACAGAGTTAAAAATGGACACTTGTGTAAGAGGGTGTGGCTGCAGTTGTGACCAGTCATTTTAGGTAACTTTAACCCCTTAAGGACCAAAGTTCTGGAATAAAAGGGAATCACGACATGTCACACATGTCATCTGTCCTTAAGGGGTTAAAGGAACATTACAGGCACCATAAACACTACAGAGTGATGCAGCGGTTTTGGTGCCAAGAGTTGCTGGTTCCCCCAATTCAAGTAGTTAAACAGTTTGCTAATGGTGTGATGATTTGCCAGGGAACCCCTGTGGCCCAGTCAATTCATCCATTGGGAGCAAGACGTTCCTGCAAGGATTCAGTAAGCTCTCCTGTGATGATCGTCAGCTGATCACTCTCAGCCAATGAGCTAAGCCCTGTTATGCCCAGCTTACTCAGAGAAGAATGATTCCATCTCTCAATGGTGGAGGTGACTATCGCCCGTCAGACTCCAGGTAAGCTGTTACCAATTGGGAAACGGTTTGACTACTTACATAGAGGCAGGTCACTCCTGCCAACATAACCACTACAGCACATAACAAACACTAACTGGGAAACATATTTACTGAACAAATTTACTGCACTTTAATCACACATAAATGACATTTCTTTAGCAATAAAGCTCTCCAATACACATGTTTACCATCATACACACATAAGACATTATGTATTCCTAGAAATATACGATATCTAGTAAGGAAAATATACAGAAAGATTTTGGATGCCAAAGAGACATCTGCCCATCCCATAAAAAGACAACTGGATGTGAAATCATCCATTAGGCAAATTACTTTTTAGCTTGAAGAATAGAGAAAAAACCAACAGGAAATGTTGGTATGCTAAGTGAGAAAATATTGTTGTGCGCAAAAATGTATGGGGTGCAAAGAGTACAAAAAGGTGAAAAAGAGGGAAGGGAGCAACAGTGTGATAGATGTGAGGGAATATAACATGGCACCCTGTGTACAGTTCTGTAAAGTCTTAGTCCGAATTTATAGAAGTTCAGTCCAAGAGTTGATTAAATGCTGGATTTGAGCCCTTCCCCCTTTTTAATCTAATTTTTATTTAACACTGACAAGGTGTACAAAGTGCTAGATTATATTGGGATCAGTGTTTACAACATACAGAAAACAAAAGGTACATCTGTCAGTTAGCAGCATGGATGAACAAAGCAATAATAAATGAGTAAATAAAGATATTAAATATTTAAAGGAACACTGTAGTGTTAGGAATACAAAACTGTTATTTCTAACAGTATATTGTCCCTCTGCTCCTGTAGTGTCCCCTTCCCCCAGTGACAAATAAAGGGTTAATAGCCCTTTTTTACTCACCTGATTCCAGTGCTGATGTCCTATGGCGCTGGATAAAGCTCCTACTCTGCAGACCGCAGGCTCAGAGATTCGGAAGCCTGGGCTTCCCCATAAGATAGCTTTGAATCAATGCTTTCCTATGGAGTTTTTAAAAACACTGAACAACTTTATGCAAAGCGTGAGGATGTCCAGCATTGTTATACTCCATGAAACAGCAGGAAGTGTCTCTACTGGCTGTTTGGTAGACAGCCACTAGAGGCAGTCTTATCTCTAAAATGGCAATGTTTTACATTGCAGGGCTAAGGGAACATGGACAATGCACCAAGACCACTTCAATGAGATTAAGAGCAGGTGTAGAGTAGCGGATATAGCAGCTAGGAGTTCATTTCCTTGTTTCATAAAAATGTCCAGGGGGTGGGACAGCAAAACCCACCAAGGGTCCATAGGTATAAGTACCTATCAAATTGGGATCACAATAGAGAAATGTTAGGAAATTGGCACTTTTGGTGTATCTCAAAAGAGTTTTTTGTGCAATGGTCCATTCATGAAATGAATATAAAGATGGGAGAAAAAGGCAGGAAACAGCTCACTAAGAATGCAGCTTCACAATGGATGCTGTCCAGGAGGTGGGAGGGTCTGGGAGGGAGGGTCTGCTGCTGATTGGCTGGAATGTGTCTGCTGACTGTGAGGTACAGGGTCAAAGTTTACTCAATGATGAGTCCGCGGCGAACCGTTCGCCACAAACCGTTCAGCGAACAGTTCGGGACATCACTATATATCATACTAAAACTAGACTTTCTTATGTACCTAGAGAAATGTGTACTATAATTTGCCTTCACTACCTACCAAAGGCCTAGGGTAGAATGATCCACATTACATTGTGTACAAGTACCCAGGGCCGCCACCAGAAATTTTGGTGCCCCTAACTGAGCTCAGGATCTGGGCCCCTGGGGGCCCGCCTCCAAAATCGCCCACAGAGACCGCCTCCAAATCCCACCCACAGGAATACACACACAGACGCAAACACATTCACTGATACAAAAGGACACAGATACACACACACACTGATACATACTAACAGACGCACATACTGATACGCATATAGGCATACATACTGACACACACATACTGAGACATACACACATATCCAGACACACAGGCGTACATAGTGACAGACACATACATAAAGACACACATGCATAAGGACATACAGACACATTCATAATGACATACAGACAGACATTCATACTGGCATACATACATTCATACAGACAGACATACACACATTCATAATGACATGCAGACATACATACACTGACATTCATACACACATAATGATATGCATACAGACATACATCCATACAGACAAAAACATACATACAGACAAACATTCACATACACATACACACACAGCTCATTTTCCAGCCACCCTCCTGTCTCTTACCTTGTCTTTGCAGGAGGGTGGCTGGGGCTGATGGGACTGGGAGTCGGCTGGCTCTCCCTCTTCACTGCCGGGCGCGCGCTCCTCCCGCGCGGAGTGAGCTGGGAGGAAGTGACCACTTCCTCCCAGCAGCAGTTGTGCTGCGGCGGCATTTTTTTGTTTTTTAAAGGGACCCGGTCGCGCTATACCACAGCCACAGCGCTGACCGGGCACCTGAAGATACGGGACCCATCGGGTGGCCCTAAGTGCGTGGGGCACCCGATGGGCCCCGTCAGCAGTTCCGCGCTACACGTGGGGCCTCCCAGGGCCGCCGGGCCCATGACAACCGTTATAGTTGTCACCCCCTGATGGCGGCCCTGCAAGTACCTGTGATACTTTAACAGTGCTGTGCATAAAATTTATTTATTTGTGGTTTGGGCAAGAAATGTGACAGAAGGTCACCTGATGTGTCATTTCCTGACAAATAATGGGAGCAGATGCATTGGGTAGCACTGTACAGTCATAGCAGATGAGGCTCCCTACAATGTGCTATGAGAGGGAGGAGCTACCTAATTGTAGTTGCTACCATGGTTACTAATTAAAAGTCCAGTTTAAGAGCACAAATGAAAGTCTTTCTTTGGAAATAAAAGAAATGCTAACATTGCAACATGGTAAAATGTCTTGCAGTATTATTATAATTCGTTATTTAATGTTTTATAGTTCACACGATCTATAATAGTACTATTTCAGATTAATGAAGATACGATAATCAGGCTCTTATCTTCCAAGTCCCTCATACTGTCTACATCACCAATGGGCTGACCAGGTATCCTGGTCAACTTCAATTTACATTCAAAATGACCTTTTCCTTATAATAAACCTTGACTTTTTGTGTTTGAAGAGTTAATGCTCCCGTTAATCAGCTTCAGAAAATCATCAAGCTAATGAGCAACAGCTGCTATATTATAGGATTAAAAGCATGAAAGATAGGAATGAGCACTTAGCTCAGGCGTATGTCACCATGCAGACACAGAAAAGATATTGTGTCTTTGTGCGTACCACGAAAATATAATGGAGTCTACGTACAGAGTAGTATAGAGTAGTAACTATCAACTGTCTCATTAATAATCTTTTCTTTTCACTCGAACATATAATTTATCTTATATTAAAGACTGTGTATTTTTAGTTTGACATGATTGAGTGGCAGATTATTCATATTTATTCTGTCAGCTAAAATGTGGGTGTTTAAGAGTCAATACCTCAATACCATATTCCCATGAATAACTCTTCACCCCCTGAGCATGAGTGTATGCAGATGCCTAAATTTTTTACCAAACTCCCCATCCAACCCCTCTCAAGCCTTCTGGTGCATCCTCACCACATCTGCTTTAAACTCATTATGTAAATGTTCTAACATTTTTCCCATTTCATACCTAGCAGTAAGAGCTTGACAGTCTTGGCATCTTTTGCTGCATCCTCTTGTAGTTTCTTTTCCAGTTCCTTAGATCTCTTGGCCAGCTCCTTATCTTCTGCACTGGCTCCGCTGCCCATCTCTGAGATGTCCCCTCCTGTGTCAGGATCCTCTGCCTGCTCCAACTCCTGGACCTTGGGTGTCTGCGTCTTTCCGTTCAGTGCCGAGGGCTTCTAAGCCCTCCTTTGATGCAGAAATCTGTTTTCGCTATATGTTCTTTTTCCTGATTCTTCTTTATCTGTCTTTTCCGCTTTCAAATGTTCATACTTTATATCCAGTTACAACAACCCTGTTTATATAGAATACACCAATAGGTGTTATCAAAAAACATATGGTTGGAGATACGTTTTTCTTTATTCCATCAGTAGTAGCCGTTCCTAGCCTTTCTTTTTAAAAACGTCTGCTTTACTTTCTCTACAGTCCTCCACTTTAGAATCTCTTCTGCTAATTTCACTTTCTCAGTAGTCTTTCTTTTCTCTATATTAATTTTATCCCTGATCTTTCGCTGTCCCTCTTGATCCACCTCCTTCTCCTTTCTGCCTTTCTCTGATGTTTGTAGGATGCTTTCCTTAGGATGAAAGATTACCAACTGTCACCTGATTTGATAAATCTTATTAGGACTCTCAGAGCTTAGAGTTGGGGGTGGAGGATGGTTGTAGATGTTGTAGTGTAGATGTAAAGAACATTTTGGGTAGTGATACAGCTTGTTCAAAAGGTGGTAGCAGCAGTGGATATCGAAATATTGTGGAACTGTTCTGAACCTGAGTAAAACCAACTGCCATCAAGAGTGTCATCTTCAATGGCCTCAGTACGGGTTATGAGAATATTTTTGGAGGAATGGTTCCAATTTAAGAATCATTTTTTTTCTTTGTTAAACATTTCTGGTGTGCCACACTCAGTGTCCCATTGTACATGAATATATAACAATTTAATTGAGCAATCAGCAGCTATCAGTCATATGCTGTGATCTTGGCTGATACAATTTGTCGTTAGTGAGAGAAGCATAAATGTATGTGTTGTAAATGAATCCCTCTCCACACGGAATAGTTTTTAATAGTCTGATCAGATGCATAACGGATAAAAATATCCATAATTCTCAGGACACCAGCAGTCAAACACCAGATACTGGGCACATTTAACAATGCCAGCTCCATGAGCCCTGGCAAACAATAATGCCCTGCCCCCCTGACATTTGTTATGCCATACTTTAGGAAATGCTGATTCAATCTGACAGGTAACAACTGCTTCTAATCCACAGCTCTGCTGGCAGGATCTCCTGAAACAAGAATCAAACGTCCGCATTAAGCTCTTTAAAGTGGAGGATTTCATGGTTAATCCCGATTCACTTTGTCCTTCTCCTTTGCACCCCCAACACTGATTCATACTCTCTGTATGGTTTCTGGAACCACATATACATGATCATGACACACTGTAGTTTAGATCCTAATGTTAGTCGTGTATAAAAGTTTATATGGTGACACAGTTATTGTCCGTACTTACAAATAAAATTATTGCTGTCAAACATAAATACCAAAACTATCCAGGCATCTTTGAATGGTCCATACAGGCACAAAAATAACCATGCTTAGTACTAGAAGCAGAGACAATATAGACACACATGCATACACAGTTCACAATATTCCAAACTTAGTGGCTGTCATAAACCACACAGCATCACTTAACCTGTATCATATATTCTACCTACAGATGAAGTACACAACAAATACATGATTTTATACCTCACAGAATTGGATGGAGTACTGGATAAAGCACAACTAGAAAGCAGAAGTGCTTGTTCTTGTCAGTGGAATTATAGCTTTACTTTCACAGAACAATGCCTCGGTAGCTTTGATTGCACGTGACTGTGGTAATCCACATTGCTTACAAATAGACCAGATTTATCGCTAGGTTATTAGCAATAGATCTAATGGTGTCTAACTGAAAATTACCGCCACTATATCCCAACCACTTACTCATCAATAAAATCTAAGATGCCAAAAATGCTTGCCATTGGGTATTTATTGAAATAGACCAGTACACATTTTGACAGCACAAGGGGAATAATTCATACTCCACAGTTATCTTGTCTTCCATCGCCTTGCTTTTTTACATACTATAAGTGACATCCTTTTACTCCAGGACGAATTAGTGTTGTGCATACACAACCTCTTTGTGAACATGAGCTTACTGGTTAATAAGTGCAAGTGCATTTAAGCAAACTAACATACTAACTTTTAAGCAGACTAACTTCCTCCCAAAGTAGCCCATGTCCCCATACCTGATACTTTATACAACCTGACTCTTAGTATGTAACAACCAAATCTATTGGAAGCGTGAGACTTCTATTCAAAGCACTTCAAGGCTAAATCCAGTGTCAGACACGCCTTGTAGAGAAACTCAAATAGTGAGCAGTGGAGACACAACTCAACCCATCCAAGGAGAATTTCCAAAAGATGTTTGGTGAAACCTCAGATGGCCCAAATTGTATAGTATGTATAATTTTACCTGCTCTGTAAATTCTGAAAAATAAAATTAAAGATTGTAAAAAAAAAAACAATGAAAAACATTGAATTGTATTATAATCTTGTCAGTGCTCTGTCAAATTATAATAATGCTAAACAGGTCTGTGTGTTTAATCCCACAAATTATCTGTAATCTGAGCAGTAATTTCAGTACTAATGGATAATACTTTTTTGTTGTTGTTCAATGATAATTCACACATCAAAGACTTGATTTAATGGCACATATAATGCAACTAAACCACCAACACGAGACTTTTTGAAGATATGCCAGCAAATGGTGGATCCCAGGTAAGTTGTCAAACCATTTTTAAACAGTTTGACTACTTGTTTTGGGAGGGCATAAGGGCACTACTTGCAACATGACCACTACAGTGTGCTGCAGTGGTTATGGTGCTTGGATTCCTTTAACATTATCTTGTATACGCTCTTTAATTAAGCCAGTCTTTCAAGATAAATCACATTCTCTGCAACACACTATTTCTAAACATGTATTCACATTTTTATAGAATTCAACTAAACTAGTTTTCCAGCATCCATCCTTCATAAAGCCATGTTGGTGTACATTTACTAATGATGTAGTTGTTGATAGTGCATTAAATTGCTATGACAAATGTGTTAATTTTATATAATAATCAACAGCAATCCCTCGCATGAGCCTTGGTTAAAAGAACTCATCTTTTGTCCACACTCCAGAGAACATGTTGGTGATCAGGCATAAGGGTTTTTTATTTTCTGTGCATATTTAGTAATAATTTTGAGGGAGCTTAGGGCCGGAGCAACCGTTAGGCAAAAAAATAGGGCGCCGGCCAGCTGTGGGAGCTCACCGAGATATTTCCTGGTGTCTTGGACCACAGCACCGGGCGAGCGGCTTTTGAGCCGCCCCCCAATCTTCCGGGCGCCTGAAAATAGGGGCCCTGAGATGAGCCCTGTCACGGGGGGCTCATGAGGCGCCCCCGAAGCTGTGCTTGGTAAGGCAGAGCAGGCACCAGCTTACCTTGATGGCAGGTGCCTGCTCCGCCAACAAATACCGGTGACGGGAGAAGAGGGGGACGGAGAAGGCAGGCGGCGAGGGAGGCTCTTCTTGCAGCTTCCCACTCCTCCCTCTGTGATGCCGGGAGCCGGAATATGACATCATTCCGGTCCCGGCATACTAAACCGCGTGCTCGAGGAGTGAGGAGCTGCCCCACACTGGACCCCAGTGAGGAAGGGAGGCTGGATGGGCCTCAAAAAATAAAATTTTGTGAGTCAGTGTGTCAGTGAGTGTGTGAGTATTTGACTGTCAGTGAGTGTGTGTGTGTGTGTGTCAGTGAGTGAGAGTATGTCTGTCAGTGAGTGAGTGTATGTCTGTCAGTGAGTGTATGTGTGTGTCTGTCTGTCTGTCAGTCAGTGAGAGTATGTATGTCAGTGAGTGAGTGTATGTCTGTCAGTGAGTGTCTGTGTGTGTGTGTCAGCGGGTGAGTGTATGTCTGTCAGTTAGTGTCTGTGTGTCTGTCAGTGAGTTAGAGTATGTCTGTCAGTGACAGACACTCCATGTGTGTGTGTCTGTCAGTGAGTGAGTGAATGTCTGTCAATAAGTGTATGTGTGTGTCTGTCTGTCTGTCTGTCAGTGAGTGAGAGTATGTCTGTCAGTGAGTATCTGTGTGTGTCTGTCAGTGGGTGAGTGTATGTCTGTCAGTGAGTGTCTGTGTGTGTCTGTCAGTGATTGAGAGTATGTATGTCAGTGAGTGAGTGAATGTCTGTCATTAAGTGTCTGTGTGTCAGTGAGTGAATGTATGTCTGTCAGTGAGTTTGTGTCTGTCCCCGGCATACTAAACAGCGTGCGGAAGGAGTGAGGAGCTGCCCGACACTGGACCCCACGGAGGTAGGGAGGCTGGATAGGCCTTAAAAAAATAAAATTGTGGGAGTCTGTGTTTCAGTGAGTGTGTGAGTGTTTAACTGTTTGTCTGCCTGTGAGTGTATGTATGTCAGTGAGTGTATGTCAGTGAGTGAGAGCATGTGTGAGTGTCTGTCAGTGAGTGAGTGTATGTCTGTCAGTGAGTGAGTATATGTCTGTCAGTGTCTGTGTGTGTGTCTGTCAGTGAGTGTGTGTGTGTCAGTGAGTGTGTGTGTCTGCCAGTGTGTGTCTGTCAGTGAGTGAGTGACATGAGGGGGCGTCAAAATGGATCTTTGCCCAGGGCGGCAGAAATCCTTGCACCGGCCCTGTCTGGGCTGAGCTTTCCAAAAGGTAACATTTCTCAAATATCCATAGTTGTAGATTCTTGTGAACTTACCTAGAACTGAAATGTGCTGTATATCAAACTGATTGACAGCTGTCAATGCTCAGTGATCTGAGCAGCTGAAGACGTAATGAAAGAGATCACCTACCTAGTGCTTCTTTTGATATATTCCTCTTTTTATTTAAAACCACAAAATGTTTCCTATTTGGTTATAAGCAATTAATGGTCATTTGTTTGGCCATGTTGAATTTTTGTCATTTTCACACTAGACATGTCAAACTCATGTACATAGTGAGGAATCGTGATGCAGCATACCAACATAGAACTAACCCAATTACCACCCAAATAATGAGACAACGTAGTATGGATGAAACAGGCCACAGCATTTATTATAACATATGACAAATACTGTATAACACATCCATAATTTATTTTAATCTTTAGCTTTACTTGATATAAACTAAACGTCAAACATATATAACCATAACTTAACAAATAAGTTAACACATAGTGTCATACAGTCATACAGTATAACCCAACCGTCCTTGCCAATATACTGACCATGAGCCTATGCACCACTTCTTCTCACTTCCCCTCTCGGCATAAATTCCTTTTCCTTCCGATGCTTACCACCAGCTGACCTTTTCCTCGCTTGGTGGGCACGTCATAACAGGTAACCTAAGGTTACCACCCTTTAGAGCAGGGGAGATTGAGACCTGAAACTTGACCACTTCATTCCACATATTGACATAACCGCATCAAACTTAATTGGCAAGGACATACCCCCAGCCACAACCCCGCTGTTTTATGCCTAAAATCAGCGCAAGACACCACCAAAACCACTCACGGCCTTTTCCACCACTTCCTGCAGGGCGAGATTAAAGAGGTCGAACCCGACCTCCACCAAATGCACCTCATCCCCCAAAATAGATTGCCAGCATCCCGCTCAAAAACCAAATGGAGAATTGGAATCCCCTAAACACCCAAAATGAATCTAGAAGCCCTCCTGTTCAGTTTCCAACAGCAGCACTCCATCGCACTCAGATTGCTGAGCACGCTGCCAGAAATAACGGTCAATAACCTCGGACTAGACCAGGCAGGCATTTGGGAAGAAAAACTAGAATGCGTGTCATGTCCCATTTAACGGCCAACACTAAATCCTAAATGGGCACCAAATCCAGGTCATTCCCCCCACCCCCATATGGAAGAAAAGGACACTCGGAGCTCCCAGGAGGCGAGACAGCTGAACAAGGTCTGGGAGGATCTGCATCCACCTCATGTCTCTGGTGGCTAAGAGTCAGCCCACCATTGAGAGCCCAAATGGCCCCAAAATCTCCCAAGCCTGCTGCAGTGGTAAACAGGTGGACATCAGTGTTAGAGACCTCCAGGGCCTGCCAGTACATTCTACAGTTATTGGAGGCCAAGAAGGAATCCTAGACAGCCCAATGTTCAAATCCGACAGGCAAAGTCCAGCTTACCTAGGAGAGACTGCAGGCAGGGCAGCTCAATCTTACGTCGCCCAAAAGCCAGCAACGCCTCCCGCCGGAGGACTTGAACCTTAGTCAGGGGCAACCGACATTCCCCAGCCACGGAATCGATCCTGATGCTCAGGAAACTTAGGCAGATAACCGGACCCACGATTTTCTCACGTGCCAATGGAACATCTAAACACTGAAACACGTCCCCCAGAACCCGCAGCAGCAGAGCACAGACGTGCGACTTCTCCGGCCCCACAGACAAGAAGTCGTCCAGGTAGTGCAGAAGGTAAACCGACCTCCGTCTCCCTACGCACCACCCACTCCAAAAAAATGCTTAAGCACTCAAAATAAACAGGATAGGGAGCAACCTATGGGGAGGCACAGATCCACATAATACTGACCGTCAAAGGTACAACCCAGGCGATAGTGACCTTATGGGTGCACCGGAAGCAACCGGAAAGCCGATTCCACATCCGCCCTTGCCAGCAAGGCCCCCGGGCCCGCAATCCGTACCATGCGAACCGCTGTGTCAAAGGACGCATAGGAAACCCGGCAGAGTTTGGCAGCAATGTCATCAATTCACCGAACCCCCAGGAGGGTACGACAAATGAGGAATCAGGTGATATTTACCTTGTTCCCTCTTGGACACCATGCCCAAAGGGGAAAAACCCACAAATTGGACATGGGGGAATACAAAAGGGGCCGGCCATCAGGGCCAAGAAGACTTCCTTAGCAAGCATCTCCCGAACCACCTGAGGGAATTCCCGTACAGACCGAAGGTTCCAAAACCGAGAGAGAGGGAGGGCGCTCCGTAAAGGGGATGCCAAAACCCTGCTCAAAACCCTCCATTATGGCCTGTGCAGCCCGCCAATCCTTAAAAAGTCGAGCCATGTGTGCATCAAGTTAAAGCCCCCACTACCCCATTTTCACCCTGCTTGAAACAGTGGGAGCTGGGATGGGCACCACCGCAACTTGAGCACTCGTGCTTGAACCGGCACAAGGACCCCCACTTACAGTGACCATCATTGAATTTCCAACAACAGCCCGGCCTCTGAGTGGGGGCCGATGGGGAGGAGGATATCCCCCCACGGCCCCCCCAGGAAAGGACGAAAAAGCACCCTCTAGAGGCACCGGGCAAGTCATAATTGAGAGCCACAGGCTTATGTCCATTTGGTCCCAGGACAACAAGGGTCGCACCGCCACAGACAAAGAGGGACCCGGGGGGCGAAGGCAACAGAGCACTACCAACTACGGACAAAGATTCAGTGGGCCCTGAGGACAGCGCAGAGGGTGTTTGTTGGGACTATCCATAATGGACTCCCCATGAACTGCCGCCCCCCCCGCTCCTACTGATCTAGAAACCCACAATACCTGAGAGGAACACCCTCAACTCAGGACCTGAATGACTAACCGAGGAGGGAAAACCGCACTTACTCTGGCATGCCGACCGCGGCACAACAAGCACAGAAGGTGAAAGCAGATTGATAGGAAAACCAGAGTCCACTGTGTTCCTCAAAGGTGAGCCAGGCGCCACCTGATGGGCAGTTCCAGTAACAGCAGCCAGGTCCTGTGAGAAGAGCAACGGAGAGGAGGTGAACCCACGCTCCACACCAGGAGGCAGCCGAGGTAAGTGACCAGCAGGGGGGAGAGGGAACCCAGAGAAAACAGGGGGGAGATTTAGAGGGCGGAGGGGACCCGAAAGGAGCAAGGAGAAAGATGGGGAGGGAAAAGAAGAAGAGGGAAAGGAGGACCCAGCAGGGAGGGGAAAGGGAAAAGAAGGACCAGAGGAAGCAGGAGGAAAACCAGGGGCGCCCCCCCCAGAGGCAAGCTGGGCCCCCCCAGAAGACAGCAGGGGGGACCCAAGGGTAAGACCAGGGAAAGGAGGGAGGGGGGGACAGGGGAGAGAGAGATCCATGGGAGCGTAGCTTACCATCAGAGGAGGCTCCCTACCCACCTGAAGTCCTCCCCCAGTCCGCAACGGTGGTACCCCGCGTGGCCCTGCTAGGGACCTGGACACAGCCCCGCCGCCCCTTCTGCCGTGGAGGGATCTTGAAGGCCGCTGGGCCGCCGCACACCATCGGGAAGGTGCAGGGCGCCTTCCACTGGCCCGTGGTCCAACGCCGCGCAAACTGTGTGGAAGTAGCAGGCTGCGTGTCTGGAGCCCCAGACATGTGGTCCTGGCGATGCCTTGGGCCCGGGCTCCTACTCCTCAACCGGGCCCGAGGAGTAGTGTCTGGGGACAGTCTAGCCGGTGGGCGGGAATGCCGGCGCTAGAGCGGCCCCCAGGAGCAGGGGCCGCAGGGGAGGCCCCTGAAGGAGACACGCCGCGGGCGGGGGGGACCCACACCGGCAGCCATACCTGGGGTGAGGTGAGCATATGGCTCGTGGAGTTGCCGGACACCATCCAGCGCAGCAACAGCTCTGAGGGAAGCTAGAATAGCCTCAACCTCCATCCCTCAAGCTGGTAAACCAACAGGCCCAGGACAAACATGAGCAGTAGGACAGGAAGCTGTTTGCTGGCCCAAATCCCAAGTGGCACTGAGGTAAGACCACCCCCACCAAACTCACTCACCACATAATCCCACCCACACATTCCTACACATCCAATACACTGCGCTATCTCCCCAGGGCCTGGTCTGCAATTTTCTTAGATCACAATTTAAAGAGGAGCTGTACAGAAATTCTAACACAATCAAATAGCTAATTAGAAGCTACCTATTGGTTGTGCTAATGTTTGGATGCTCATCTGCTCATAAAGAATCTGTTGTAGAAGCATTATGGCTCAATTTCATCATTCATAACACAGATATGCACTGAAGGAGTGTTTTATTTTATTTACCTCTGTTGTTTTAGTCACCCCAGTAAATGCTGCAATGGCATTTGTTGGGTTTAAGGAATAAGAAACTGACAAAATGCAATTGCCTACAGTATAAATATTTGTGCGTTATTCATGTTGGTAAATAAGCATTTAAAAATAGAAAAACAACAACATAGCTGCCATAACCCATTTAACCCATTTCTGAGTCTAATGAAACAGGAATGAGGGCGTCCAAGATAATGGAAGCAGAGTAGCTCAGTTTTGATGAGGAGTTGACAAAGCAAAATGCTGCTGCCTTTTAGACAATGATATATCCATTCCTAATTAATCATAGGGAATAATTAGGGATTTTTTTTCTTTCTTTTTTTAGATGCAAAAGTCATTTGGAGGTCCTTTGCAGCAAAGTGGCGTACAGATCTACAGAGTTTTATGATAGAAACAGAATTCAACTAATGTATCCTAGCAATGATGCCCTACATTTGTCAGATTACTTCTGTCTGCATGACTTATTTAAAGCAAAAAAATACCCTACCGGCTTAAATGTACTAGAGCTGCGAGCTTTGCTAGATGTTAAATGGTTCTGACGTGGCCTGTCCTGTAGCTTGATGGCTCACGAATCTTGCAGACTATTTAACTTCCTTGGTTAGTTCAGGTTTAGCACTTAAAAGGTTAACTGTGACCAGATTTACACTATGTGGTAACCAGGCAACTAGCATTAAATAGTTAAGCCTGTTATGCAAATGCAAGCCATGATAACGTGCTGTGTATACCTCCTGCAATATGCCAAATAAAGAGCAGTTTATCTCAATTACACATAGACTGTAAAAAGTGAAATGTCATTTGGTTCCGCATTCGTGAGTAAGTGCCATGCCAGCTTTCAAATATCCAAACATTCCAGCCTCATTGTTAAGGGACCTGCAGACCCTTGAGGACTTATTGGGGAAAAGGAAGCATGAATGCTGTACTAGACCCGGGACCTATTGATTAAATCAGCGGTTCCCAAACTGTGTACCGCAATGTGCACAGTATTTCCCCAGTGCTATGATTATGGCACCAGGGAAACAGTACTGCTCAACAGGGGTCCAGTCGAGTGTCGCAGTCCTTTAAGACCGCGACCGGGCACCTGTAATGTTGGCCGGCAGGGAGGAAGTGACAACCTGTCACTTCCTCCCAGCATCCTGCAGGGAGAACGCATGAGAGGGAGAGGAGGCAGCCACAGCATGAGGGGAGAGGAGCATGAAGAGTTCCAGACTCCTCACTCCCACAGGTGGATCTTTCTTTTGGGTTATTTATTCCTTTTGTTCTGTTAGGATCAGATATTTTCTTAGAGAACTTGGTGTCCATTTTCCAGCACGAGAAGTTTCTAAGAAGCTGGAATTTGAGATTTAGGCAGGTAGGATATTGGGTTCCTTTTTGTGAACCCTCTTTTCTAATTTATGTGTTTCTCCTTTAAAACTTGTTCCAAAGAAGGAGACAGGTAAGTGTTCTTTTATCCACCACCTCTGTTATCTTTCAAACTTGCTGGTCAATGATAACATCCACAAGGTTGATACCAGGGTTCGCTATGCCTCCTATGATAAGGTGCAAGAGCTAGTATAGGAGGGTGGCTGCTTTATGGTGAAATCTGATATTGAATTGGCCTTCCCCCTTCTGCCCATTTACCTGGTCTGTTTTCATCTCTTGGGAATTCAGTTCAGGGACAGGTTCTGTATGTCTACAGGGTTCTCTTTCTTGTGGCTCTACCTTGAGATGTTTGCCAGCTTTATGGAATCGGTGTTCGCCCTAATCTTCTATAGTTTTTCTTCTCTTTTAATACTTTTTGTGCTCCTTTGGTTCGCCTCCATGTTTAGTTTAGACACTCCTACATTTACTAGGTGGGAGGAACAAAGAAGTTATGATAGGAACATAGGAATCCCTATGGATGTTTCCAGAGTTTGGTGGTTATGTATTTGGGGGCTTAGGTGTTGCTTTTTTCTAGGTGGGTTCCTGTGGCATTACTTACCTCCCTCGAGCCGCGCAGACCTCCTTGCACGGCACAGTCAAGTGCACTCACCTCCTCCTGCCGCGCGGTCTGACCAATCCACGCAGCAGGACATCTATAAATAGATAATAGGTGTTATGTCACGCCCACTCTTAAAGGGACCACGTCATCATTGCTATCCTAATCTATTTTGAGTCGCATTGATGACGTGGACCTATCAGAACATAGGTAAGCCTTGTTTTAGCCCCCATTCATTGCCCTGTTGTGGTTTCTGTATATATCTTCACTTTGTGCTCCTAGTGATTCCCTAGTGGGTTTCTATGTTTGGCCTCGGCTTCGTATTGACATTGTGTATTTCTGTATCCTTGATTCTCGCTAGGGATCGACTGATATTGATTTGTTAGAGCTGATACCGATAC